ACGGCGTCTGGGGGCGCCAAATAAGGGTCACAACTTCCTTCTTCACATGCGCTGCAAGCTTGCGCTTACCCGTAATCGAGAGTTTTCATCAAGAATATGACATATCTTGGCGCCACCGTCGAATGAATCTCATCGCAAACACAATCTGGGCACGTCCCGTCATTGGGAAAATGTTTGCAAAGTATGACCGTCTCTCAAAACTTCCTCCTTTGGTACGACCCCCCCCTCTCTTATTCAACATCCCTCAATCTTACCAAGTTCTTCTGACTTCCTACTTCCTACCACTTTTCCGCCCTACCGTCGAGATGAAGAGGGAGGCGGGGGAGGGAGGGGGTGCAGGGAGGGAGTATAGAAATTAGTATGTAGTATATAGACATAGACACAGTATATAGGCACTTGTAACAGGAAAAACCAGCAAAAGTCAAGAACTGAGGACATGTCCCTCATAGGCGGATATAAATCCCATGACAAAATACGACCCCTCTCGCTAAGGATCATCACACCGAGAAAAATTCGGTGTTAGACATTGGCCGCTACCAATATATCATTGTATCGAAGCCCTCATTTCGCTCGCTGAACAAATGTCACCTGCGTGACGCATGCCATGGTGATAAATCATTGTAGAGGGCTCACGCGGCTCCAATCATTTCCACGGGTCCCTGGGCGTACGGAAGGCGTCAACTTCTTGTAACTTATTCGGCAACTCGTTGTCAAGACATGACTCGAGATTGGCGTGGGAGAGGCTGTCTACGGCGCTTCTAATGCGCCTGCGAACGTCAGACGATTTCCCGACATGTCTGATCATATAAGGGGGATTCTGTCGGTGAAACGTGACCGACGTTCCCTCGCGAATAACTCAATCACCTTCTTCGACAGCTCTTCTGAATGCCGCTTCTCACAAAATCCTCGTCTTCAGCTATGCTTCTCAACGGATATGACGAAGATGAAAGCAGTGAGGCGAGTGCGCTTCATCGCAGTGTCAGCCTCAAACCGCCAAAGATGCCTCGTGAGTTCAAACCAGTCGACGCCGTTCTCTCGCACTTCAAGCGATCATCGTCACCCAAGCTGAACGATCTGGACGAATCATCATTGAGCACCGTAACAGAAGGTCCTGAAGCAGTACCCAAGCAACGAGTGCAGGTCGGTGATGGCGTGAAAGCACTGCTGGCATCGAGACGTGGCCTGAACATCGCCGAAAAAAACGAATCTCACATCAAGAAGTTGAAACGCAGTTTAAGTGCCCGTCTCCTCGGCAACCACAATAAATCCAGCCGACGTCTTGAACGTCAATGCCGTTCATTTGCAGCCAAAAATCGTAGCGGCCAATCGTCCATCGACTCATCACCCTTGTAAGTATTATACATATTGATTTGTGTAGCGCTTGTTCTATGGGCGGAGCTTAGCTCACCAGAAAAAGAGCGAGTTCGAGACGTAGTTGTTACGATTTCCGACTTCCGATTAGAAAGCGCAAAGTTTTCGTTTTCTCTTCCTTTTTCCCCCTGTTTACAATGGGAACTTCACTGTACGTATCAGGCTATCTTTGCTCGTTCCATGAGTTCTGGAATCGTTCACTGCATAGCTGAGACAAAAGATAAGCGAGCTTTTTATAGGCCCTGCATCTCATGGACACTCCCTTTGCCCTATTGATTCATCAGATGCTTATCTTATATCAGGGCCTGCACTTTTATCAGCAGGCCCAACATAGCCAAATAAGCTGAATATTCGGGCCGCCCAAGTATTGCTATCTCGTACGTAGTCTGCTGGGCCGCTAGCGACCGGTTGCAGTCCCCTGGGCTAGGACGGTTCCATCAAGATTCTCTCACTAGTTGCTGTTCACTGCTCTTTTTTTTCGCAAACTCAAAGGTTCGAGCATCGAAATTGCGGGATCGAAATTTCTTACTACTGGAAAAGGGATGAAAGGCTGGGAAATCGTTCATTCGAAGCGCTCGACAGGGGGCTTCGCGATGAATAACATTATCCATGCTCAACTCTCCTGTCTTCGCAGACCTTCTGGCACTCTTTTCGTTTGGGACTCTACCGCCTGCTCTCGGTAGCCCGCCTCTTGTTGATTTCAGATATAGACTGTAACTTGATCCCCAGAACATAAACATCTGCTGGAAGTGAAGTCAGCGCCTTTGCAAAGACTGATACTCGTGTTCTCGGGGTCAGTTATCTTGCGGGAAAAATCCTGGCCAATCTACACATTACAACAAAAATTCCGACGCCTAATTGCGAAAAAATGGCCGCATTTAGAGTTAATATCGATGATTTCCATAATTTAATACTACTGTTCAGTCCATTGATTTCGCATTAAACCACGATTAAACAGGCACATTCTTTAGGACTCTGCTCCTCATTGCATCTTCTCGCGTCTGACTAACCCCTTGACCACGTCGCAAGCTCGAGCGATGACTGTACTTACACTTAGGATAAAATCCACCTCGTTCCAAAGTCACCTTCGTACTCGTTCGGTTTCCTTCCTCAAGTGTCTATATGCTGATTTGTTTATTACTCAAGTCCCCTGGATGACTATAATTTTTCCCTGACAAAGATATTGCCTAAGCTCCCCCCGTCCGTCAGCCTGCCAGGGAGCTTGAAGAGAGCCTCTGAGGAGTTTTCGAGCGGCATCTATGGGGAGAGTCTGTATAGATTAACTCCGAGAATGATAGCAAAACATGGGACGGGCAAAAACTGTTCATAGGGTCCATCACAATGGGTCCAGCGCTCACTCTCTCTGGGACCCATACAAACAACTCGCTGGATCTCCTGGCCTCTAGGGGACTCTATGCTTCCCACTCTTTCAAAGCACCGCCCCGCCAATGAAGTCTCCCATGAAATTCACTTTCGTAACGACTCCTTTTTCACCCGGAATCGCATTGTTATCATGCAGCAGTTAGATCCGCGGTGTCAGGATGGGCGGAGAAAGCAAGCGTTGGTCGTTTCTATTGTCCTCTCAAGTCTAAAGGCATAAGTCACCGATAACTTGATGTACCATGCTCGCAGATTATAGCAGTGGACCTATGTTACTAGTGGAGAGAGTGACAGAGAAAAAGCGAAGTTAATCGGCAAAACAACTCGAAAAAACCTTTATCTGCCCGCGGCATTTGACGAGCGTGTCTTAGGCGAGTTTGCCATTTGGCACATGCGTTGCCAACACTGCTGGGGCATATGATACCGGCTCCCCACCTGTGATGTATATATCACGTGGGCCGGTTATATTGGTAGTCTACTCTTACCTTGTTACTCTGGCGGAGAAGAGTTGTACTCGTAGAGCGCAGACACTGTATGTTTTCGCGGTCTAGACAGCTCAGCATGGAATGTCGCCTATTGAACCATCAATCCAATCATGATATAACATTAAAAAAAAACAATTAAAAATTATATCGATGCATGTTAAATATAAAAGAAGGTTAGCGGTGAGCTCTGGCGTGTTTACGTAACATGTAGTAGACACGATCAGATATCTTATCTTTTGCATAGCTATGTTTCATTTCCTCCCGTATCCGCTAGCAAAATCTTATTCGTCTTGCAATTATGATCTGCGGATGCGTGCTAACATCCCAGTGCTTTTCCATATCTCACTTGGATAAGGTGACAAAAAAAAAACTACGCAAAGTAGTACTGCATGTGATGCCCGCGCTTCGCAAGGCGCACGCTTCAGCAATCACCAGTCTCTACACACTCGCGAACGTTATTGGACAATCCATGATTGTCATATTTTATTTTACTCTTCGATGCGTGCTGTCGCTGAGCGGACCGTTTTTAAAATATGACAATCATAGATTGTGTCAGATGAGTTGGAGAGCGTGTCCAGGAGTACTCGTGGATTGCTGAGCTGCGGTGCGACAGCGGCATCAAACAGTGTTTTGGCAGTAGTTCCTTTTTCTCCGACCTTATCCAGCACATGGCACACATATGGGCGGGAAGACGTCCAATTCGTTTCCTCACTAGCCGCGATTTTTCTCTTAGTGGTTCGAAGAGGGTGGTGGGTGTCGAGCGCGACCAGTGAAAATAAAAGAAACTGCGCGCCTACTAATGTCAGCTGTTGCGCCCGTGATATTCAAGTAGATGTCTCTCACAAACCGTTTTACATGCCTCTCTATTTTGCGTTTTACCATTTCGCATTTATTTATCTCCATTCTCGTCCTACATGTTATATCAGGCCCTTAAGAAACCAGGATCGAATGAATGAGGTGCGTCGGGAACGCCCACGAGTGTATTCGCGGGCATTACGCGGTCGCTTCACGACGCATGAGGAATCATTCGACACCCGATCGCGATAAGTGGATTCTCGATCGTATTTGCTAAACATATCAGCGTTGAATCACAAATGTGGAAAGAGAACTATTTTTCACGAACAGCTGATTCCTAATCTGTTGCTCGGTCCTGCCTCAATAAGAGTGACGCGGTCAAGAGCTGGACGCGTGCCGGGTCGACAGAGCGGTCTTTACTGAGACCAGGTAACCGCGACGCGACCGCTCGCGACAGTGACCGGCAAATTACGAAATTCTTAAGAACACCTGCTTTTGACGAAATTTCGCAAGACTATTTTTGGCCACTCGCTTATCAGTGATAGCGGTGGTGATCAGCACGACGTCCCCGCCAGCTTCGATCAATTAGAGAGTCCAACCACTGGACAGTTTTCAATTGAAACTGTCGGTCAACAATCGGCTTATGGAATTATCTCCTTAGTGGGTGACAAATATCAGAACGAAAACAAGGGAGTTAGAGGGAAATGAAGACGAGCCGTATATTTATTGGGGGCTGTTACTAGCTACAAGTGACTGGAATATTCTACAACTTTCTCTAGAGTGACGCCTTCTCGTTTCAGGACCATCTCATCAGATCACCTCTTCCACGATCGACTCGACAGCCCTGATTATCCGCCGGAAAGTCCGCCAGGCAGTGTATCGAGCAATTCATCCAACGAAAAGAAAAAGTGGGTCTCTTCTATTCTTTTGGAAATCCTCACGCTGCTTAGGGAACGTTGTATTGACGTCATGATGGTTAAAGGTGGGCAGTTTGCCTGCGCAAGGTCAGAAGCCCGTTTTTTTTTCTCGTCAACGCCCTTTAGCTGGGAAAGTGAGAAGTCTAACAAGCTAAGTGTGACCCAGTCCCCGTCGCTGTCCCACCCCCCCCCCATTACCTCAGCGCCTTTACCTTGCCCTCATTCACAAGCACACATATTAGCGTACGTTTATAGTAAGCGCGCGGTCGCGCCCGGTTGCAAGAGGTGCACCCTTTGCGCAGCCACGTCGCGACCGCGCGCTCATGGTTTCTATGGAACTTTTGAAAGGGACTGGCTCAAAAAGCATTTCAGGAACCTTGGTAAGAAGCGACATTCACGCATTGACGCGCTTTTTGGTGCCGCAAACTGAACTTTCTTAGCCTTTTCAGTGACAACGCAACAACACCGTCCAGATCACTGGCGAAAAAGAAGAAGTATTTTTCGGAGAGGACGAACAAAAATATCATCAAGAAACTGATCCATCCATCCTATCAAGAACGCGCCGGGCAATATCGTCGGCTGTTTGGCTCGAAAATCGGACCCGAACCGGACGAGTTCCTTGCATGTGAGTTTACTTTTCATTTATATAAATCATGGATCGTCATGCCAAACCAGTGGTTTGAATAGCAGGGCGCAGACTTGAGGAAGGCTTTCCGCGAAAACTGCATCGCACAAATAAATGGTACTGGAAAGTAACGCTCGTAAAATAATACTCATCCCATTAAAGGTATAGTCCACGCTGATCCTGTGAGCGGAGTCAGAAGTATCAGCGTGTCTACTTCGTTGGTACGTCCTTTTCTTACAAAAAGGTAAAGAGAAGCCTCTGGTCACAAGCAGGGCCCATATGATCACCGTGGACAGCGCCTTTGAGACAGTTCCGGAGAGGGAGAATCTTTGCTAGTCGAGCCTAACTATAAGAACACAGCGCAGAGCCAGGGCCCTTTGAGAGCAGGGTCTGAGCAGAAGTTGCTCCTGAGACGTTTGCCATCTGCCCATTGGCGTTCGTAACCTCGAAAATACCATCAATGGTGCCGGGCCTACCTCGTTTACGTAAGTAGAATATACACGAAATTAGCGACTCGTTCCCAGTTCCGGAGAGGGAGAATCTTTGCTAGTCGAGCCTAAGAACACAGCGCAGACTGCTCTTACTGCTCTACTCGACTTGAAGTTTTTTAGGCTCCGACGCGAGCACATGCGAAGCGGTCTCACATTCCATGTGAATGGAACATGTAAAATTTCTGGTTTTTCAGCATTTTCATGCGCCTACCAACGTGAAATACTATGCCAAGGAAGAATGTACATTTCACAACGTCACATCTGTTTCTATGCCAACATCTTCGGATGGGAGACGAATTTAGTGCTGCCTATAGCAGAAGTGGCCGCCATTACGAAAGAAAAAGCGGCGCTCATCTTCCCCAACTCTCTGCAGGTGAGTATCGGAACCTTTTGATGCTTTAAATCTGGGAGCACTTAGCGAAATAGGATGGCCCAAAGCAAGGGTGGTCAGCCAATCATAGATCCTCAACCAGTAACGACCAAAATCAGCCTATCCACCCTAGCCTATAGATCCTCAACCAGTAACGACAAAATCATCGGTTTCCCTCGCAATGCAATGTCAGTGCACATCGCTGTATTGGGGAATCCCCAATAGGGAGGGGTCGTATTTGGGCTGGGAAAAATTTATTTTGATAGTTGATTTTTCTCGCTTCACGGACGTTGTAAAGGGGGGGGGGGTCGTACTTGGTCATTGTTGGGAGGGGAGGGGTCGTATTTACGTTTTGGCGTTGTAGGAGTGGTTGACTTTTTTGTGATTTTCCTGTTTCATGCGTACTATATACCCCACCTCCCCCCTCGCTGGACAGCAAAAATTTTGGGGAAAAAGAGGGAACTTCTCGGGATATTTTGTAAAAAGTGGCAGGAAGTGGGGGAAAATCTGAAAATTGGTGGAAGGGTGGGAAGTCGTATCGTCTCGCGGCTTTTCCTGTTTCACCTGTGCTATTTACCTTCCTACCCCCACTTCCCCCGCTCGACGGCTCGATTCGATGAGAAGGGACAGAGGGCCGGAGGCCCAAAAAAAAGGGGGTGGGAGTACAGACTCGACTAAAATCCCCAACCAGTTATGTGCCCTGTGCAATACCGGATCCAAGCAGTGAACAATAACACTGGGAGGCGTAGGCTTGAACTTCACGTGGCTGGGGCTATTGATCGATATCGATTTGAAAAAAATTAGTTTTCGAGGGGCAAAGGTGAGTGACTCCACAGCTGACCGATGGGCAACCCTTCTCGCAAATTTCAACCATATAACGTACGCTGATAAAAGCAGTGACTTTGCAGAAATCCCAGAACGCTACCCATCGGTGCCAGACTTTTGGGACACATCAAAACACTCAGCAGCGCCTATAATAGACCAATTTCAGATTGAAATGAGAGACGAGACAAAGCACTTTTTCGCCTCGTTTGTCAATCGTGAGAAATCCCTTACAGTTCTTCTCAAAGTTCTGGAGAAAAACCAATCAGGAGAGGTATGTCACTGGATTTGAATGCCGTCATTGATTCTGGGATCTGTACTTCTCCGAGAACCTAGTTCGCCTTTTGATCTTAAGGACATCCGCGATAAAGGGATGGGCGGGGACACCATTGCGGCTAATGCTGTTTGGACTCCAGAAATTTCGGCGCCGAGCTCATTTTAAATTGCCTAAGTCCCAACAATCGCGTAAAACTTGTACATAGGGGTAGTTTAACATTCTGATTACGAATATGACATTCACTCTTGCCGCTGGCGCTAATGGATGACACTGATTATCTGCGCTCTGCTAAGGCTGAGCCCAGGAGGTAATCGTAGTGTCTCTCTTGGCGCCAGCGCCAAGAATGAGTGTCATACTCGTAATCAGGATGTTGAATTACCCCTATATACAAGTTTTAGTGGATTTGGTGACTTAGGCAATTTGAAAATGAGCTCGGTGCCGAAATTGCTGGAGTCCAAACGGCATTAGCCCACCATTGCGCCCTCAGGATATCTGTCAACCCGCAAATCCGCTTTCCTCAATTTTTTTCTTCCTCTTTCCTTCTTTCTTTTCCCTCTTCTTTATTCTCATCCATTTGATGCTCGGAGAGAAGATGTAACAAGAAAATGTCCCTGGCTCTCTAGCGAGAGAACATCCAATTGACAGATGCCTTACGAAAGCTCTTCCCATTGATGTGCCCTCCCTGGGGGCACGCCCGTGAGGGAGATTTAGCAGCTAGGAGTCTCCGCCCACTTAATTATCGCGGAATGGCTCTTTGCGTATGCCCTTACTGGGTCCCTCGAAGCCCTTCATCTTCTAAGAATTTGAAGTATTCAGGCTTGAGATGTGCATTATTTCAGCTGATGTCCCCCGAAGAACTTTGGGAATACATGAAAGGCGACGACGAGGAGAAGGTGAGAATTCATTTTACCGTCTCCTCCTCTTACTGGCTTCATATTGATGCACGAACCAAAGCCGCTTCTATTCCCCGCTCTCTCTCCTTCTCACCCACTCCGTTCCTCGACGGAAATTAGTGTTCCCGATGCTTTGCGTGGCTTCTCATCATCGTCCATTCCATTGCTCTTGCACTTTGAGCTGCTCATTCCGGCCGTCCAACGATCGATAGATACCCTCAGACTAATGCACTCTGGTAGTCGAAAAGCAGTCCATTAATTTTTCTTCCAATGTCCTGCTCGCTTTAAAACGCTGATAGCCATTTTCGCAGCTCTTTTGGGAAATTCTGCCCGTCATGTCCGGAACCTTAGAGTCTTCACTGTTTAATCTCTTTACATTTCTACTTTTTTGGGTTTTTATTCTGAAGCGACCGCTTTCCAGAGAACAATCTGACCCTGCATTGAAATCTTGGGGGTTCAAGATTCGCCATGTAGTCAAGCGATATAGGCACATTCACAGAGCGCGCTGCCTGCTTTGGCTTCAAGGGTAATCATGCAGTCGGTACCCATTTCGGAAGGAGCCAAAACGAGGGAAGTCGGTAAACCATATGATTAGAGGGACCACAGGAAATGCGAAAGCGCTATAAGACCTTACGAGTTGCGCCATGTACTTCTCTCCCTATTCTTTAGCGTCTGTCTAGTTCGTTGGCAGGGTCCGCTCTGCGTTGCGCCGTGTGCGTGACTTGACTGTACGTGACTTACTTGCAGAATTCAAAAGTTATTCGGAAGAATCATTCCCTTCATCCGCAGCGAAGCAAACTGCATGTAAAATGAGTTTCCTGCCAATGGAGGCATCGCGATGACGTCACGGAATGTCGTCATTTTCGTCATCCGAGGAATGACATTGAAGCTCACCACATTAATGAGATTTAGAAAACCTCAGTGAGAATCTTTAGCAGATGAGAGCCATCTTTTCAGTTTAATTATTCCCAAAAAATTCCTTCAGTCTTATATCCAAACCCGTTGCCGAGGCTGATTTCGAGAAATGGTTGAAAATTATGCAAGGAACTTGTAGGGTTCCACGTTTATCATATGGACGGAGTCGAGCCTATCATTTTCCGTACTGCTATGACTGTTCCTTCTCTTGAGTGTCTCAGAGAGAGCAGCGTACCAATGAAGGAAGCACGATGGTAGTAGGCCTCGCTCAACTCATCCGGTCAGCATCGCATGTGCCTATTCATTCGCTTGAATTAAAAAATATTTTCGCTTCCTCGTGCTTCAATTGTCTCCTCAATTGTGGTCGCAGTTCAGCTTGGTGGGGTACCAAATGGTACTCTTTAAGGTTTGTACAGACCATCTTGAGAAAACTTTTTCATCCAATGTGGCTCATGTCAGTTGTACCAGTTCACAGTACTGCGAGAGTTCACCGGTCTAAGACCTATGTCCCTCCCGCCTCCTAGACCGAACACAGCCCAGTTTCGGACGGTTTGTGGCCTTGCTCTTGAACTTCCAGGGAAACTGGTTTACCCGAAGTCTCGACTGAACGTGCTCTACGTGAAGAGTCGAACATTAGGCCCATTCCTCTTTTCCCAGCGCACAGCGCGCCACTGATTCACGGTTTCCGGAAGCCACGGTCCTGTTTAGTCTTATATTTGATGTGAAAATGTTTCTGGTTCAGCTTTGGTATTATCTGCCAGAGTGAGACCCATCTGGTTCTTCTTCTTCCTGAGTAGATATACACTTTTTATGAAAGTGGATGTGGTGCCAGTCGCCTCCCCTCCAAGCCGACTGGGTCTTTCATCTCTTGAGAATCCGTTAATCTGGCATGAAATTCCTTAGGGATGATAAAAGCACTTGTTTGTGTACATCGTCCAGTCCCAAAAACTATTTCACGAACCAAATCGTATTAAAATATCACTACGATTCTGAATTCAATGAGAACATGTGACGCATCCAAAAAAGGGATTGATCAACGGCGAAATGTTTCGTAGTTGTTTTCTATACGCTTCCATTCCAACACAGCTGCAAATCCAATAGTTTCTGAGACTGTTATCACGTGTTACCATCCCATGGCGTTGTACGGTTATCAGCGAACGCTTCATTCAGTTCGAGTCATGTTTGCATACCGAAATCGCTAGTGCGAAAACAGCTCGAACCAAATCGTAAACGATTCTAGCAAGCTGTCACCGTCATCGCAGGGGTGAGACCCCAATGTTCACGTGGCTATCAGCAGCTCGTACACTTTCATTTTTCTCGGTCTAAAATGGTTGTCGATCAAAATGGGCTATAGCAACCATGTCTTAGCCTCTCTGCCTTGTCATCGCATACTTGCTTGATCACGTGCTACCCGGTCGCACGAAAGAGAAGCTCTCGTTTCCTTAAGAATCGGGATTGGGATGCTGGAACTAAGGCAATACGCAGTCCTTGTTCGCTGCGGACAAGGGGTCTGATTTCGGCACGACGCAAGCGCGGCCTTCACAATTTTTGAAGCGATAGCGATGTGAAAATTATTTCGTGTGAATAACAGATGACGGACGCTCAAATCAATCCCAAAGGTTCCCACCCTCTAAAACGCTCTGCATACTGCAATGCGACAGATTATAGGCCGCGCCCGGCGGCGCGCCGGCCGGGGCCGCGCGGGGCGGCCGGGCGCTGCGCCTTGGGGGTCAAGTGTGGTGATATAACCATGTGAGAGGCAAAAAGGAGCAGAAATTCATCTCATCAAGACCCTGTCCCATTATTGAAGTCGGAAAAAGTCTTATGAAAGTGCCCCAGGACGCGCTAAGCACATGGTTTCACTTATCGATGAAATTTGCCGCTTCTCGACCTTGCTTCAAACCTTCTGTTCCCTAGACAAAAATATGTTCACACAAGGTTAGATTAGGATTGGCGGGTCTTTGCAGCTGGAAAATGACTTAAACAAGCGAACGCCTCACGATCCATATAAAAACTATGTTAGACACGCCGGCAGCAATGGGGCCACTCTAGTGCCCCTCGACTCATACAGAAGATTCTACTGCTCTTGAGAGCTTGTTCGTCTTGGAAATGTGTTGTTGCGGCAGTGAAGCAGACGTGGTGAGAGCTCTTGAAGTGAGAGAACCCTTTTTTCAGCTTTGCCTACCTCTCTCCTTCCCATCAAAAGCGTTCAGTGAGAGAACCCGGACGTCACTTAACGAGTTTTTCACACAGGTTGCCGTCATAAGGCTTTCACTTCGTCGTTTCATTAGAGCCGCGAAGCTTCATTTCCGGTTTCCTCGCTAGCCTCATGTTTTCTCTTGCTAAATTGCTTTCCTTTCCTGCTCGATAAGTACGTGGCGTTTAAGTTACTCAATTTTTTACAAGCCTTTGTTCAAGTCCAACGGGAAATTTATCGTACGGAAAGTTTTCAGCTCGGCCCATGAGGAGCCCAGGTGTGTTATATAGGGAAGTTGATATGGGAAATGATTGCTCTGATGAAGCGCTCTCCATGGCCTTCTGGAGCGAATATGTGGGGCGTAAAAGAGGGGACGATCACGCCGATTACTCCATCTTTATTAGCATCGGGAATCAATTCTTGCTATTCTAGCAATCATTACTCCATCTGAGATTCGATGTAGTCAGCTGTTCCTGAGCCCAAAACAGAACGATTGATGAGCCTGGGCTCGATGATGACTTTTCTTCCTTCGTCGGCTATATCTGTTTAGGCTAGCCATCCTCATAAAGAAGTGATGTCTACCAAGCCATTTTGGTCTCCTTGGTCTCAATCCTCCTTTCATTTCGCCGACTTCTGGCTGAATCCTTTCCGCTGGCCCCAAATTTCAAGTGCTTTTCCTATTTAGCCACCTTTGACTTTGTTTTTTACTCCTTCTCCTCACCTGCACCATTTTGACTCCCTGCTACTCTAGATATGGTGTCATTTGTAGACTTTCCTCGTCTTTCCTCTTTCCCGCTTCGTTCTTTCTCGTTTCCTGCTCACTTCTCTCTTTTTCTCTCGTGGTGCATTCAGTTTGCCGATTGTCTGCAATGTTTGCACTACAGCAGCAGCCGGTCCCAATCCGTCTGTGTCAACGGTTCTACCGGACGACATTTGCTTCCATACTCCATCCTGAGTCACATTTTGAGTCCAGTTGCTTTATATTAGTAAGCTATTCTAGCAAATATCAACATCACTCTGATGACGAACACCTACATAACTCCTCCAGACCAACTCTCTTGAAAGCTCTTGTTCCGGTTTGAGCGCTTCAATGCGAAGTGAAACTTCGGAAATCCGCTTTTCAGGCTCGAAACCAGCTTAGCAAGTCTTCCTGCCTTTGCTTCTGATGGTTAACAACCCTAGGCACAGAAATGATATGCTTCTTTAGTGGTCGAATGAGTCGCTGAGCTATCAGATACCAGAGTCTAGGTCTTACGCCAGGGTATTCCTGCGTGACTTCTAATCACCATCGAAGAACTTCTTCACTCGAAATATCCAACTGCCAGTCTGGAACTGCACTCTTTTCTTTTCTTTGCAACTTCATTCCGTTCGGTGATAGTCTGGGGCTGAAATTATGTCGTGTTCAATTTTCTATTATGTTTACTTTCTCTTCGGCCCGTTTCATCCTTCACTAGCACGGTGCTTTGCCTGTTTTTTTTTGTTGCAGTGCAGTAGATGAAGTGAAATGACAACATCGCTGCTTCCCCGTCCTTCGCTAATCTCTGCTTTGTTCGGCTGATGTTGCTAACTAAAACCGCTTAATTTGAAGGCTTAAGGATGAAGTCTTCGCCGTTGATCAATCCCTATCTGAGATGCCGCACGCATACTACTTTCATTCAGAATTGGCTGGTTGAATGCGATATGGTCTCTACAATGAATTGGGAGAGCCAGCCGATGTCAGCCTAGTCAGTGTTCTTATCCTCCCCACGAATCTGGTACCACTTTACCATCTCCGGAGGTTGGAAGGCTCGGTTGACGGGCGGTCGAACCGTGATGTGAACCCAGGACTTCGCCAGCGGTAAGCGCGCAACTTG